TGACTGGCTGTGTTACCTGGGACTCAGGCAGAGCCACTTAGTGGCAGAGTTTGGAAGAGATCACCTATGCCAGAAGGTCTTCACATGGGTTCCATGTGTTTAAAAGCTACAGGCACTCACTGAAAGTATAGGTAATTCATCATAATTAGGTGCATTTGTTTTTCTGAGAGGGTCTAAAGTTTTCATCACACACTCAGAAGAGTCTGACTCCAAAACATTAAGAACCGCTTCATCTAAATCACCTGCTCCAACTTCCTGTTTACTCTGGGAATTTCCTGCTAAGCATCCTCCACAACGGATCATCCTTTCTCACCTTAACTACCCCCAGTGACAGAGACTTCATGACTTTCTGAGGTACTTGTAATTAGAAAATCATTTCATCTCTTAGGGCTCCCATCTTCCTAATGGATGGGACGGGTAATGGTCCCCACTCCCCACCACCTACCACACACAAGATTGTGGTGAAACAACAGGCATAAAAACACCCTGCAGATGAAAAATACTTTACAAACAGAAGAGGGTCTAATGTATTCTTATCATGTATCACATAGTATTAAACCTCTAGGTTCATTTGGATCCCTGTCATCCAAACTCAGTCTGACCTAGTATCTGGCTCATCATTATTTTTAACAACAAAAATAATAATAACAAGTAACATTTGGCCTTAGCAACTCTCAACAAACCTCAGAAGAAACTGTCAGCCCCACTTGTTAATTCTGGTTCCTTCTCCTCCAGCCGGCGATGGGGGCCACCCTCCTTGCTTTCCTATAACCTCCTCGGCAGCACCCAGGGAACCCCTGAGGGATAACAGTAGGGATGCAAAACCCCTACAGCCCTGTCCCAAGTTCCTTCAGAAAATATTTACCATGGCTAGAACCATGAGGCATAGAAGGGAGGGGAAGGAAGACCCGGAAGGGAAGAAGGAATATGCGCAGATGTGGCCCTGCCCGTAAGATTACCACAGCTGTCTACAGTTTAAATCAGTGTTACTAAGAGCAAGCAGTGACACATGAAGGTCACAACCAGCATGTTCATAAAAAGGAATCATTTAAAATTAAGATTAAAATATATCTCATGTTAGTGAGGGAAAGTATTATTTCAGGAAACTTTCACTTCAAAATACTTCATATAAATTTTTGAATATATATATGTGTACACTAGATTGTGATATAAACTGTAGTTCTTAATGTGAAATACAGTGAGGGGAAAAATGTTTGGGAACCACTGGTTAAAGTCCCCAACACCCACATGGAGACCACTTTCCAGCATCTTGAGTTCCAAAGACGTGCATTTCCTTCCGTGACTGATGTTACCACAGCCTGACAGCTGGAGGATGATGAGAAAAACAAAGCACAACGAAAGTTTGCCAGGCGATACTCAAATACTCAGCTATTATAGAATCTGTTTGACATGGAAATTGATCCCCCTGCCTAGACAGCAAGCAAATCATTTATTAATAAAGCCCAGTTCCGCCCTAATGAAGTGGGTTTAATATTTGATATGTCAATAATTACTTCGTGCATTTTTAATAAAGGTGATAACAAACATTGTTTCTGAATCAAAAAGATTTTCTCAAATGTCTGCAAAGAGAGTTCCCTGAGCTTGTGAGTAATTCAACCACAGGGAGATTAATGGAAGTAAGCCACTACTACAAACAATCTTTTAGGTTTCTGGATAAGACCTAGAAAGGTATAATGGACACCTTAAAAAATATGACATTTGTTCCAAAAATACATTTCCATCTTTCTCATCTACATTTTAATATGATTATCACCTCTTCTCACACAGTTAAATGTCTGTGCTTTTTTTTTTTTTTTTTGTAAAAGTGCTATTAAATCTGATAGTAGGAGATTTAAACCAACAACTGATTTCTATTTTTAAGCAAATTGAAAATACATATGAGCTCTCTGAATTAGACTTTTGTGGGGTTTTTTTTTTTTTATTTGTTTTGTTTTTTAGACTGGGTCCTTTAATTCACATAGAAATGCTGCAGTTTAGATAATTTAGGTAATTGTTGCTTGTTAGGACAGACATAATAATTAAAGGCTCTGTAAGAAATATGAGAACATTAGCCACTTACAGCTATGTTGTGTAAACAGAGTATCTTATTTATCTTGAATCATCTGCCTTATGCCCACGGGGATAAGGTGATACATGTTACCCAGTACATAAGAAAGATGACAATGGGGAATTGTTGCCAAATTATTCTGCCTCACGCTTGGAGCCTTACCTGAACACCCATTACCTTCGAGAATATTTAGAAGATGCAAACTTAGTTTGATGAATTCCTGTTGTATTGGGATCAAAGTCTCTAAAGGGAAAGTCACAATGGCAGAGGAAATCTGGCACAAAGAGACCAACGGGCACTGATGAGGGAAATGACAATGTACCACACCCGCTCACCCTGCTCTCAGATGCAGAACTAAGCCTGCCCTCACTCCCTGTCTCAGGGAACGTAACGCAGTGTGTGTGGTTCCCAGCAGCTTGCCCATCTCCTCACTATTCTTCTCAGCCCAGACTGACAACCCTTTTCAATATATGGATTTGGATATGTCTGCATGTCAACAACAGGCAGAGGAGGTTAGATAGCAATTGATTCTTGATTGGAGTAAATTTATAAAAAGCATTCCGGCAGGGCCCAGAGGCAAACACCCACTGATTCCTCTGTGCCAGGGAAACGTGGAAAGTTCCACTTATTTGGATTTTGTGATCTTTCAATAGGAGATGGGCAGATTTCTCACTTTAATTGACTGACACTTGCTATCTAATCAGTGCAAAATCATATTACATTGTAATACATATGGCAGGAATAAACTACTACTGAAGACAACTCTTTTTAGAGCCCTTCAAACGCTTTAGTTTTCCTTCACATAAAGTACGTAGTGCTCCCTTTTAAGTCATTTCCCTATTATTTAAGAATTTCTAGGAAATATTACACAATGGTATATTCAGATTTTTTAATTAATATTTAATATTCTATAATTTGAACTTTTTACTAAATCATGCTAGCCTTCCCCTAGTTGGCCCAAATGGTGAGAGTTTGCTCTGTTTTTTTACTAGATTTTTTCCCTTTGCTGTTTAGAGGGTGTTCATCATGCACTCACTTACATATGTCTCTGGAATATTCAGAAGGTTCAACAGGCAGTGATTTGAATTCTCAGTGAAGTTACTTTGAAAGGAAGGGAAATGTTTTCATGTGACTTATTTTTAGCACTTGTGCCCTCATCTCCAATTGGAACATGTTTGTCCCCAATTCTGAAGCTCCTTCCCTATGCGGCGCTTGACACACCGAGAGTCGTGGGGTGGGCTGGTGGTGAGACAGGAAGTGACTGGCAGGGAGGTGGGGCTTGAGGCAGGAAGGTCATCTGCAGTGTGATCCCAGCCCACAGCCCTATGTCCCGGGTCATGACACCACCCTTTTGGCAGCCTAGATTGTGGTCTGACAAGAGTGACCACCAAGGCCATCCATTCCAATGCTGTCTCCTCTGGTTCCAGATAAGATTGAAGATGAGCTGGAGATGACCATGGTTTGCCATCGGCCTGAGGGGCTGGAGCAGCTTGAGGCCCAGACCAACTTCACCAAGAGGGAGCTGCAAGTCCTTTATCGAGGCTTCAAAAATGTAAGACCTATGCAGCCTGGCGGGGACTGGGTGGGATCTCGCACTTGGGGCTAAGCTTTCTAAAATGCCTAAAACCTGTTGCTGTCAAGTCAATGACAACTCATGGTGACCTCATGTGTGTCAGAATAGAACCGTGCTCCATAAAGTTTTCAGTGCCTGATTTTTCAGAAGTAGATCACCAGGCCTTTCTTCTGAGGCACATCTGGGTGGACTTGGGCCTCCAGTCTTTCAGTTAGCAGTCGAACGCTAACTGTTTGCACCACCCAGAGACTCCCCCAAATGCAAAGGGGGCCCATCAGGGAACTTTCCCATACATGCAGTTGTACAAGGAAGGGCAGATCTGTAGGGGGGACACAAGAGCAATATCACCTGATTAGAAAGAAAGGCTTGAGCAAAGAAGAGGAAACCTCAGGAGATGTAAACTGGACAACTGCCCAGAGACTTCACAGAGTGGCACAACTTTGGAGAATTCACCCTAGCTCAGGCTCTAGCCTTATCATAACACAGTGCACCCAAAATGATTCAGGTCTTCTGACTAATGCTAACCAAGCTCACAGAGACTCATATGTGAGCTGACTGCCAGTGTATTAATTTACAACGGGAAGTAGAACTGACAGCAGAACAAGACCCTCCTCATGCTTGCCAGCACCTTCCTCTTTGTCTGAGCTACATGGGAAGCCATGTGATCAGAAGACAGGGAATTAGTTGGCCCATTGTTTCTTCATATACATTAATACATTTCTATCTTCTCGGGCCAACTTTCAAGCTCTCAGATCCAATCCTGAGTATTGATTTTTTTTTTTTTTAATTTAACTTTCAAAAAACAAACAAACCCACTGCCATGGAGCTGATTCTGACTCAGTGACCCTATAGGACAGAGTAGAACTGCCCTATAGGGTTTCCAAGGCTATAAATCTTTATGGAAGCAGACTGCCACATCTTTCTCCCGTGGAGCGGCTGGTGGGTTTGAACCACCAACCTTTTGGTTAGCAGCCGAGTGCTTTAACCACTGTGCCACCAAATCCTGGGGTGGGGTAGTGTGGAAGAAGGTGCTCACCATCTCCTCTCCCCAGAGGCAGAGCTTGATGAAGTCCAAACTGCCTACACCCTCTATGCTCTCCAAGGTGCTGCCAGTAAGGATTCCAACAGCTGGAAGTTATCTGACAAGAACAGGGATCCCTCTGCCTCCCCACAGTAGCCTTGATTGCACTTGTCTTGTGCCTAGTTTCCTACCTGTAGGACTTCTTTTCTTCCAATTGTGCAGAGGCAGTGTTATCAGCTGGCCACTGGGTTGGAGCAGGGTCCTGCGGGAAGGTGGCCCAGGATGGACAGTGGGCTAAGAGGGACCAGCATCCAGAAAAGGGAGGAAACTTACATTGATTGGCATCTACCATGAGCTCACTACCACATCAGTTCCCATATAAAACCTCATGATAGCCTTGTGGGGAAAGTACTGTAGCCCCATTCTACAGCTAAGGACATTGAGGATCAGAGACTGACTTGCCCAAAGCCACACAGCTTGGAAGTGGCTGAGCCGGAATCCAAACCCAGGTCTTTCTAATCCCAAAGCCCAGACTCTTTCCAATCCCAAAGCCCAGACTCTTTCCACGTCATGGTGCCTATTCTCTGATGATGTTTCATCATTTTGTAAAGCAGCTTCCATCTTAAGGTTGTGCCACCTCCCGACCACTCACCTGGAGATATGCGAAATTTCACAGGTTGTTGTCTAGCCCCTGCCCACAGGGATCACGAGGAACCCTAGACCCCAAGGATGGGTGCAGCCCACTGTGGCTAGAACAGGTCCTCAGATATCTCCACTGACTCTCTCCATCACACAGGAGTGCCCCAGCGGTGTGGTCAATGAAGAAACATTCAAACAGATCTATGCTCAGTTTTTCCCTCATGGAGGTAAGTCTGACCTATTAGAAGACATTGCCTAGCTCCCTCTCTGGTGGGCATCCTTCCCTTCTTCCAGCACCAAGTCCAGTCTTCTTACTATCTGCCTCCTCCTCATGGTAGGGGAGAACCTGGAACAGGATATCTTTTTTATCACAACAAGATGCAAATTTCTCTAAAGCTTTAGGAGAGAAGAGCTCTGAAAAGGGACCCTCTCCAAGAGAGGGAGAAAGATGGATAAAGCAATATTATAAATTCTCAGAAGAGTTCAATACAGTGGGTATTGATATCCCTGATGGGGCAACTGAGTTTCAGACAGATTAAGCAATTTACTCCAGATCACAATCACACAGCTAGTGAGGGGCAGAGCCAGGATGAGATCCTATAAGTGTGGGATGTGTGATACAAAGCTTGGACATGTTAGCTCCACCATTGTGCCAAATACTCCCATTCTTTTCCTTAAAAAGCTGAGACAAACTGGATTTTATTAAAAGAACTTTAGTAAGTAACAGAGACTACAAAAATAAACTAATCCAAAAAGATGCAGGAAGCATAAAATTGTCCTTATAAAGCTAGACTATTGAGGGTGCCAGGCCCACAGCACCTGCTCTGTGCCCTGCCTGACTCCTGCAGGAATCTACTATGGCACCCTGGGTCCAGGACACATCACTGGATCTTTCTGTGGCCTCCATGTGTCACATGCCACCTCCCTTCCTGCCCCAGGAACTATCTCCTGCACACCCAGACCTTCTCCCTGGGCCCTGACAAAATGGAGACTCAGTCATCCCAAACACTTCTTGGGCCTTGTTTCTTCTGGGCCCCTCAGCAGCAGCAGGTGGCCTCCCCAGGTGTGTGACCTACTGAAGAGACAGGGGAGAAGGGACGGTGGGCAGTTTTGTCCCATGCATGCCCACAGAACCAGAGTTCATTGAGTTCTCTTGAGTGGCTGTTTATTGAGTTTTGATGACATGTCAAGCACTGCTGTAGTTTAACATTCTTTTGTAAAAATTTCAAGAGATAGGTCTTGCTATGTCCGATTTTACCGAGAAGGGAAAGTAAAGCTCAGAGAGGCTGAGTTAGATGCTTGTGATCACACAACTATGTAGTTACAGAGCTGTGATCCAGCCAGGTCTGTCTGTTCCCACGTGAGTGCTCATCCCATGAGGGTGCACTGCCTCTCAGAAGAACATATTATCCAGTCAATCACCAAACCCTCCATCCCCCAAAAACTACACACATGGAGAAGCGGAAGAGGCTTTCTCCCTGGATGGTTGGATGGAGGGAGAAACAAGGACTTGTCTCGGCTCTTGCTAGAACTTCCCATCTACACCCCAGGAGAGCCGGACAAAGCCCAGTTCATGCCAGCAGGTTCTTCCACTCCCTAATTTTCTGCTCTCTACCATCACAGTATCACCCTCCTCTCTTTCTTGTTGGGATCGGGCCTCTGTTGTTAAATGATCTCTCCCTTCTAGAAGTCCCTGCTCCCATCACCTGCCCTGCCCTCTCTCCCTGCAGATGCCAGCACCTATGCCCATTACCTCTTCAATGCCTTCGACACCACCCAGACAGGCTCCGTGAAGTTTGAGGTAGGCTTGTCTCCTGGACCCACCTGGAGGAGTCTCCAGGTTCCCCGTCACTTCTCCCTCTAAACCGTGGGGCACTGTGGGAAGGGTTGGATCATCAAATGCTCTCAGTCAAGACAAGGAAACCTCTATCATTTAGTAAACATTTCCTGAAGCTATGCAGAAGAAGAAGCAACTGCTTCCTCACTTCCAGGAACTCAGGGACTCAAGGGACTAATAATAACAGTTTAATAGCTCACATGTCCACTGAGCTTACCATGCAGCAGGGTCTGTACTCAGTGCTTTGAATATATTAACTCAATTACTTCTCACAATAACCCTGGGATGTAGGGTTCTGTATCTGTTACCATTTTACAGCAGAAGAAAGTAAGGCAAAAAGAGATTGAGTGGTTTCCCCAAGGTCAAACAGATAGTGAGTGGCAAAGAAGGGATCTGAACTCAGGCCATATGTTTCCAGAGTCCATGTTCTTAGATACGAGACTCTACTGACACTCATATGACAAAGCCAAAATTAATTGCAGCAATGCGACAAGGCAATAGCAGAGGAGGCTGCGTTTATCTGTGTCTGGAGGTGTCAGCACACACACATACACACACACACACACACCCCTCCATTCTTCCTCCAGGGTGTGCCTGCCAAAAATGGGGCAAGAGGTGGGGATGGCAGGGGGTACCTCTTCACTGAGCTCGGCCATAGCCTTCAGGGGACGAGAAGATAGGGTTGATACCGTCCTGGTAGTAGCAATCACAAAGTGGGGCTCAAGGACAGAGCTTACCCTACTTAATGGCTGTGTGGTTAACATCCCTTGTGCCTTTTTCACTTCTCAGGACTTTGTGACTGCTCTGTCGATCCTACTGAGAGGAACTGTCCATGAGAAGCTCAGGTGGACATTTAATTTGTATGACATCAATAAAGACGGATACATAAATAAAGAGGTAAATGCATGGAGGCTGGGAGCATGAGAGAGCCACAGTTAAAGAGGAAACAGCCCAGATATGAGGACAGAAGTGTATGAATGAGGATGGATCTGCTCTGGGGCTAGCAGAGCTGGTTCCTGGCAAAATGAAAAAGGCCACCTTTAACCACCCCCACTGCCCTACCCTGCCCTTGTCCCCAGTTCTTAAGCGCTGATTAAGCAGATCCATTCTCCCTGGGGTGTAAATGACTGGTTTTAGTGTAAAGAGTTACCCTTCCCAGGGAAACCTGCAGTTTAACAGGTTAATAATCACAAGTTAAAGCTCAAAGCTGGAATTGCAGGCATCACCCAGAAGAGACAAGGGAGATTTCTGAGGAGGCTTACCGTTTGCAGTCGAGTCGACTCTGACTCATGGTGACCCAGTGTGTGTCCAAGTAGAACTGTGGAAAACAGGGTTTTCAGTTGCTGATTTTTCAGAATAGGTCACAAAGCCTTTCTTCTGAGGTGCCCCTGGGTGGACTTGAACCTCCAACCTTTCGGTCAGCAGCCAATTGTGTTAACTGTTTGCACCATCCAGGGACTTTTTTTGAGGAGGAGGCCACTAAAAATGTATAATACTGGCCCCACTTATTTTGCCTAATAAAAATCACAGAAAGCTATGAGGGAAGGCACAAGCACCTTTACAGAAATCCTCACAAACCATAACTGAGTCTTCATGACTAGATACTTTCAGAGTATCAAAGCACCCGTGGTGCCTAACCACTAAAATACCTGCAGGTCTCTCTCTAAACTCACCTTGGTGTCTACTGTCTCCATGGAGGCTTGAATTTAACATCCTTAACACTCCCACAAGAGCCCTGGTGGTGCAGTGGTTAAGCGCTTGGCTGCTCACCAAAAGGTTGGCAGTTCAAACCCACCAGCCACTCCACAGGAGAAAAGATGCGGCAGTCTGCTTCGCATAAGAGTACAGCCTTGGAAACCCAATGGGGAAGTTTTACCCTGTCCTATAGAGTTGCTATGAGTTGGAATCGACTTGACAGCAGTGGGTTTGGTTTGGAACACTCCCAGTTCCTGAGCTCTTATGTGCCAGGCCCAGTGCTGGGGATTACGTGCAAATGTCAGCTCTAATGTCACCTCAGCCCTGAGAGGTTCTCACCTTACAGAGAGAAAACTGAAGCTCAGAGAGCTTACCTAACTTTCAGTCCTCATTCATCCAGTCATGTATTTATTTGCTCGACACATATTTCAGGGCTTATGAGGTATTCTGGGTGCTGGAGGTAAAGTGGTGAACAATCAGATGAGGCCCCATGCTCATGGAGAAGGGTAAAGAGATGGATAATAAACCGGCAAATGTAAATCAACAGGTAGAGGGTATTTTGGCAGGAAGGTCAGCAAAGGCCTCTCTGAGAAGGTGTTACTATACTGGAACACCTCGCCATTGTGATCTGGGGACCATCGCTGACTCACTCAGCACTTACCGGGCTCCTACCCCGTGGTAGGCACTGTGCCCAAAGCAGGGACCAGAGCAAGGCCGGATCACGGTCTTGGGAAAACAGGTCTATAAACCAAACATAAAAACAACTTAATTGTTTTAATAGATATGTTCTGAGCACCTACTCCATGTCAGGAAGCATTGAAAGATTGGAAAGAAAACATGGCAGGATTTGGAACTTCTCTACAACCCCCCTCCCCCCATCAGCCAAGAAATAGTAATTATTCTCTGTACAGGAAGGGATCTTTTGGCTACAAAGAAGAGAAAATAATCAGTACAAACCAGCTTAAGTTTAGAGATTCCGCGGAAAGATATAGGGAGTCTAATGGAACATCTTTAATGCCCATTGAAACTAGAAAGTTGTTAGTCTCTTCTCTCCATCTCCTTCTCTCTCCTCTTCTCTCTTTCCTCCCCCTCCTCCAGCAATGTCTGGGATCAAGATGGCCACACCTTTCTTGACAGGGATGGCAGGTTCAAGTTTCCAGCAACTAGGTGGTGATGGGGGAGCCCAAGAGGAGGTTTTAGTTTATAGGATAACCATTCTCCGTCAGTCTCTCCCAGTCTTCTCTAGGTCTCTGTTACAGTCTATGTCTCTGTCTTCCTCAGTTGCTCTTCTCTTTTTGTGTCTGTGTGTTTCTGTTTCTCCGCTATCCTTCATCTCCTTTCTCCTCTGTCCTCTCCCCTCCCCTCCTCTCCTCTCCTCTCTTCTTTCTCTCCCTTCCTCCCAGCATTGCTCTCATCTCCTCTACTCTCTGTTCACCTGCTCCATTCTACTCTTTGCACACCAGATTCCTCTGAAACTGGCTTGCCCACGACACGGATTCTGGCCCCAACTCCTCTAGACTTAAGAGTTCCAGGGTTCTACCTTTCTGATTATAGGATCTGTGTGTCTTCACTCAAACTTCCCAAAAGAGAAACACTGAATAGCTCAGCTTTGGTCAGATGTCCTCCTCTGTAACAATCAGTTGTGGCCACAGGGACAAGCCACCTGGTACAAACACAGCCACCCAGGCCCAACCACTCAAAGGAATTATGGAGTAGGGAGAGAGTTTTCCAAAAAAGGGGTGTGAGTTGACATCTCAGTCATCTAGTGCTGCTCTAACAGAAGTACCACAAGTGGATGGCTTTAACAAAGAGAAGTTTATTTCTTCACAGTCCAGTAGGTTACAAGTCCAAATTCAGGGCGTCAGCTCCAGGGGAACGCTTTTTCCGTTGGCTCTGGAGGAAGGTCCATGTCATCAATCTTCCTTTGATCTGGGAGCTTCTCTGCGCAGGAACCTCAGGTCCAAAGGACACGCTCTGCTCCCTGCACTGCTTTCTTGGTGGTATGAGGTTCCCATGTGTCTCTGCTCACTTCTCTATTTTATATCTCAAAAGAGATTGCATTAAGACACCAATCTTGTCAACCTTGTCGCTATAACCTCATCACAGTGATAGAATTTACAACACATAAGATCACATATAATCTCATCATAGTGATACAATTTATAACACATAAGGAAATCACATCAGATAACACAATCATACAATACTGGGAATCGTGACCCAGCAAAACTGACAGATATTTTTGGGGGACACAACTCAATCCATGACAGCTGATCAGGACTCAAATATGCATGCTTATCCATCTATGGTGTCCAAGTAACAGCACAGAACCCACATGGTGAAATTCTTTCTTCTTAGGATCATAAAATGAGATTAAAAAGTGGGTGAGAAATGAAGCTAAGGAGATGGATTGAGAAGATGAGACTAAGAGAATGGTTCCAGGAATGTCAAGATGATCTAGAATATATGCTGAGCCATTCGGCTGAGAGAGAGAAGGAAGCCGTGTAATTTGTGTAATTTGAAAAGCAACAAAGGCTACCCTGGCCCAAATATCTCCCTCATTGTCCCAAACTTGAAATTTTACCCTCACATTTTACCCTTTACTTTTCTCTTAATGAAAATTTAGTATTATGTAGGCTTTTCTGTTAATATGCATTTACCTTCTGGAATGATATAACATTATTCTTATCAGCTATAAACGTTGAGAATAGCCATTCTTAATATACTTTGATAAAAAAGACGTCCTTAGACCCTAGTCCTAGAAGGTTCTGATTCAGTATGTTTAGGGTGGACATGAGCACTGATCTTTTTAACAAGTGCCCCAGTCTGTGGAACCATTGATCTAGAGGGCCCTAAGGATAATCCTGGTTTTCCATCATTTTTCTTAGCTGAAAACAGCAACAGAATCTGTCAGGATTTTTAAATCTCTAAGTCAGAACATTAGCTAGAGAGAAATAGATAGCTGCCCTCAAGTTGACACCAACTTATGGTGACCTTATGTACAACAGAACAAAATGCTGCCCAGTCCTGTGTCATCCTCATGATCATTGGTATGTTCGAGTCCATTGTTGCAGCTATGTGCCAATCCATCTCACCGAGGGTCTCCCTGGCCCTTGTTGGTCCTCTTCTTCACCAAACACCATGTCTTCCTCTAACGACTAATCCCTCCTAATGACATCTTCCTCTAACTACTGATCCCTCCTAATGACGTTTTCCTCTAAGGACTGATCCCTCCAAAGCAAGCAAGTTGGACAATGTTCTGTTGTGATCCTTAAGTTTTTCATTGGCTAATTTTCAGAAGTAGATTATCAGGTCTTTCGTCCAAGTCTGTCTTAGCCTGGAAGCTCTGTTGAAACCTGTCCACCATGGGTGACCCTGTTGGTATTTGAAATACTGGTGGCATATCTTCCAGCATCATAGAAGCACACAAGCCAGTACAGTACAACAAACTGACAGACAGTGGTGGTAAGCCAGAACATTAACATTTCTTTAATTCAGAATAACACTTCCTTTGCCTTAAGTCCATGGATTAAGGATGCCACACATAACTCCTCTGGGGAGGTGGCCCAAGAAAAGGTATCATACCCAAGAGCTTCTGAAGGCAATGAGAATTTCCACTGCCCTCTCTCTAGGAGTAGATTCCCAAAAAGAACAGAAAATAGCCCCTTCAACTTGCTTTCTAACGCTCTTTCATCAACCCTCTCATTGGCAAAGGGGACAAAGAGCTCCAAATTTTCACTTAAGAAGAGCTTGAGCTCGTGGTCCCCACACTGTGTGCTTCCATGTCCCCTCTCCAGGAGATGATAGACATTGTCAAGGCAATCTATGACATGATGGGGAAATACACATATCCTGTGCTCAAAGAGGACACTCCAAGGCAGCACGTGGACATCTTCTTCCAGGTACGCCTGCCCACCCTGTGCATGAGAGCTTTAAGCCCAACTTAGACCAATTAGCCCACAAGCATCTGAATAAGTGGTTTATGTCCAACCCTGTGCTAAGCACTGCAGGGAACAGAAAAGAATTAGAAGATATATTGTCCTCAAGGAATAGTTCATCTAGTTCAGCAGACAAATATACACTACAGAAGAAAAGAGGGAAGTAAATAATCAAGCGTAAGTGGTATAGTGTGGTCTCTGAGTTCCACAGAAATTCTTGAGGATTCAGAGTAAACAAAGAAGACTTCATCAAGCACATCTGTGGAGGTGTTAAGCATTTATGCTTGGGGAGTAAAAAGAAATAAGGTTGGAAACTAGGGTGGGGCCAGATTATGAGATCTTTAAAGTTGAGAAGTTTAGGCTTGCTCTGGTAAATGAGGGGAAACCCTGGTGGCATAGTAGTTAAGAGCTACAGCTGCTAACCTTAAAGGTCAGCAGTTTGAGTCCACCAGGCACTCCTTGGGAACTCTATGGGGCAGTTCTACTCTGTCCTATAGAGTTGCTATGAGTCAGAATCGACTCAACGGCAATGGGTTCAGGTTTTTTTTTTGGCAAATGATGGATGGCTACTACTAGTCTTTGAGTAGGGGAATGGAATAATCAGAGTGGTGTTTTAGTAAAAAAAAAAAAAAAGAAAAGAAAAGAAAAAGTCTAGCAGCATAGAATCAAAGAATGTCAAAGCTCATTCTAATACAATCCTCCCACTTTACAGGTGGGAAAACAGAGGCCCAGAAAGGCTTAAAGACTTTCTCAAGATCACATAGTAAGTGACCAAGATAAAAGTAGAAACTCTCAAGTCCAGTGTTCTTTCTGCCAGATGGACAACCTAGGAGAGACTGGGGAAGACATGTTAGGGAATCAGCAGAATAATCCAGTGATGAATGTCTGGAGCAAGTCTTTTAATTTTAAGGAAGCTCACAGAGTTCAAAGAGCTTTAACCAGGGCCTGAATGGAGTAGTATGATCAATGAAAGACCACCTTAATTCTCAGGGCAAAGATGGTTAATAAAAATCAAGTTTTGGGATGCAGATTAATAGGTTCCTTCAAGTGCTTCCTGTTGTGTCTTTCAGAAAATGGACAAAAATAAAGACGGCATCGTGACTTTAGATGAATTTCTTGAATCCTGTCAGGAGGTAAGGAAAATTCAGGACACAATACCTCTAAAATCTGGGAAAGGAAATCTTGGGATTGGGAGCCTAGAAGGAAGGGATTGAGAACCCTGCGTGTACCTGCTACCCCTCAGATCAACCAATACTACCACCACTAACAACAACAAAAATAGCAACAACGCAGAGTCCAACAATCTTCCACTCCTCAGTCTGGCCTGCAGTTGATCTTGGCTAAGCACAGGACTGAGGCAGGCAGCCTGTGTAGAGGTCTGGGGGATATGAAACTATAGACTTCCCAAGTGGGCAAGACAATCATTTTTCAGCCTGCCTCTGGCTTGATGGCTCACTCCCAAGACTACATGGGAGTAGCTTGAAAAGAAGTCTAAAGCTGTGATTCTCAAGCCACAGCACACATGAGAATTACCTGCCAATTTCCAGGCCTCAATACCAGAGACTCCAATTCCATAGATATGGGGTAGGGTCTAGAAATCTTCATTTTAATCAAATGCCTTGGACCAATTCTTCTAAAACTTTCATGTGCAAACCAATCTCCCCTACAATTACGTTAAAAGGTAGATTCTGATTCAGTAGGTCTGGGGTGGAGCGTAAGAATGCACATTCCTAACATACTCCTAGGTGATGCTGAAGTTGTTGGTCCTTGGACCACACTTTCATTAGTCTAAAGAACAGACTGGCCCCAGAGTCTGCCAGATAGACTGAATCAGAATAATTGTTTTCATCTACTTTAGAAAAATGTATTTATACCCCCACCTTATTTCAGAAAGATACAGAGTTACTCTGTGATCTACCCAACAACAACCGCAAAGGCAAGAAAGCAAGAGAGAAGTTATTAATGCTAATTGAGCACCAACCACGTTTCAGGCACGTTACACAAACCTCACAACAGCCCTGTGGGGTAGATGTGCTGTGTCCAGGGTAATATTCAAAGTATTTAACAACTAGACTGGCCTGAACATTGACAGTCATTACTGACCTGGACCAATGCCCTGGAGCAGTGCCCTGGAGGATCCCTGCTAAATTTGGCATTAACCCATTAGTTGATGGATCTATGGGCAGGGGTCTTGGGCCAATTATCTGGTAGCCAGAGGGGTAGCAGATGCTGAGCGGGAGGGGGAGGCTCAGATCAGCAGCTATTTACTAACAGGGTGAAAAGTATTTCAGCATTTTGTTCATTAAGAACTGGCTGAACTGCAGTGTTGATCATACCCATTTTAAAGAAGAAAAAGCTGAGGCATCACAAGCTTGAGATATTTGGCTAAGGTCACAGTAAATGATAGAGATGAAACATGAACTCCTGTCACTCTGATTTTAAATACAGTGCTCTGCTAATGTGTGCTTTTTTGACTTTACTTATCAGTTGAGAGAAGTTTTTAATAGTTTCTCACATTAGCAACTTCTATAGCTATTCATTAGTGAACTGGTTTCTTTTTCACAACCGACCTTATGTAAATGCTGTGTTCAATCCCACTTTACACGTGAAGAAACTGAGGCATAGAGAGATTAAATAACTTGCCCAAGGTCACACAGCTAGTAAGTGACAGAGCCAGAATTTGAATGCAGGCAGCTTGACTCCGGAACTCATATACTTAAGCACTAGGCAATCCTCTTAGTTCTATCAACTTTTAAAAGATTCTAAGTATCCAGGATCAACTTTAGTCTTTGTCAGTTTTCTCTGTTGTAAGTCTGTTTTCCATTAATTTGTGCTGTAATTTATTTCCCTCCTTTGATTTTTGTTTTGTTTTGTTTTTTATTCAATTTGCTGGTGGGGGGAGAAGTTTCTAGCTCTTGAGATGGAAGCTGAGATCATTGATTTTTAACCACTCTTTTCTAATATATGCATTTAAAGGTATAAATTTCCTTGAGTACTGCTTTAGCTCCCATAAAATTTGATATAGTCATACTTTAATTATCTTTTAATTCAAAATATTTTCTTCTCTGACTTAAGGATTATTTAGAAGCGTGTTGTTCAACATCCAAACATTTGAGAATTTTCTACATTCAATACATAACTTAGAGAATACATGATAGAAAAATATAAAATAGAAGACATGGACTAGAGACATACAGTAAGAAAATTAACAAAGTCAAATGTTGCCTCTTTGAAAAGATTAATACAGTTGACAAATGCTTAGCAAGACTGATCAAGAAAAAATACAAAAAGAGAGAAAACTCATTATCAGTATCAGGAATGAAAAGGGGAAGTACAGAAAAAATCAGCAGACTTTTTCAGACATTAAAAAGATAAGAGTTGATTATTCAACAAATTTGACAATTTATAGGAAATCTATAAATTCCTTGTAAAACGCAACTTATCAAAACTAACACAAAAAGAAATAGAAAATATGAGTAGTCCTATGTCTGTTTAAAAAAAAAAAAAGCAATCTGTAATATAAAATTTTCCTACAGAGAAAATGACAAGCTCAGATGGCTTCACTGATAAATTCTTCCAAACATTTAAGGAATAAATAATATTAATCTTACACAGTCTCAGAAAATAGAGAAAGAGGGACAACTTCTCACCTGGATTTATGAGGCTAACAAGACCACAATAAAGAAACTTGACAAGGCCATTACTTGTAATAAGTTAAAAAAATTTCAGGCTAATATATTCCTTTTGAATAGATTTAAAAAATCAAATTCCAGTGATATATAAAAAAATATAATACATTATAAATAAATGGTGTTTATTCCAGGAATGCAAGGCTGCTTGAACATTCAAGAATTAATCTACGTAATTAATCACATTAATAGAGTAAAAGAAAAACCACACGACCATCTCAGTAGATGCAGCAAAATTATTTGATAAAATGTCATTGTTCAGAGCTTCTTAAAAGAAGCAACCTTCATTATTTTAGTGGATAATTTGTTTCTTCTGAATTCCTCTTTAAAGTCAGAGAAGGTGCTTCTTGCTTTGAGTTGCTCACTTTCTAAGTCTCCACCTCCTATTCCTTGTTTCTGATAACCTTGCAGAGTTCTTTCTGCACAGGAAACTCATGCTGGAGGTGTGCTCCCGAGAATTACAGAGCCTGAGGAACCTCAGAGAGTTCTAACCATCCTCTTTTTTTCCCTTGTTCTCTTCCCAGGATGACAATATCATGAGGTCCCTCCAGCTGTTCCAAAATGTCATGTAATTGGGGACACTCAGTCATCCAGCTCTCAGAGACGTTGTACTAAACAACCACTTTAACACCCTGATCTGCCCTTGTTCTGACTTTACACACCAACTCTTGGGACAGAAACACCTTTTAAACACTTTGAAAGCATTCTCTGCTGAAGACTTTCTATGGAACCCAGCATTGCCTGGCTGAGTCTCTGATTGCCAATCCTTCCTCCTCCCTCTTCTTGAGAGAGACAAAATGAAACTTGAGTTTGTTTTGGAAGCATGCTCATCTCTTCACACTACTGCCCTATGGAAGGTCCCTCTGCTTCAGCTTAAATAGTAGTGCACGATGTTCCGCTTGCGTGCCCCGACTCACTGCCTCCAAGTCCAGAAGACCTTGATGTCTGGAAGCAAGAAGACCTGTGGCAAATGCACACTGCCCTCTGTTGGCCTCCCAAACCAATGTGCCTGTTTCTCTTTCTTTGGTGGGAAGAATGAGCATTCTACAGAACAATTAGAATCAACCATGGCTAGATTGGGAGAGCCAGCACCTACCACAAGCAGGATAAGACTGATTTATTAAGCAAGGCATTGTCTGATGACCCAAACTGCCCACATCCTTTGTTTCCAGAGACAAGGGCCAAAAACTCTCTCTCCCACTAGCATCTGTGCTGTTAATGCAAGTCCCTTAATATGCCCAGGAAGGGAGTCATTGTCCAATGGTCCATGCCTCCACCCCATCCCCTGCTAGAGCCCAGCACTGCATGTCTTTCCCAGACAGCCCAGGATGCCCACAAATAGCTGTAATTTTATACCATGTTCTAATCAATAAACAGAACTATTTCTTACACTTGTAATCTTCATTTCTTCCATCACTCCATCAGGCAAGGAGTTAAGTTGTGAAAATGGAAGGTTAGTCCATTCATTTAGCATCCAGTTATTAGTACTTACTATGTGCCAGGCACTGTGCCAGGTAGTCGAATCATCCTCACCAACCTCCAAGTCACCCCAAGCAAACATGCAATTCAAATACAAATAGTGTGACTATATGCAAATGCTGCTTCAAGACAAGACCCTCACAACACCTCCAAAAACATCACAATTCCCAAGACCCTCCAATGTAGAAAGTCTGGAGCCTCAAGTGGTATGGTTGGAAGTACAGCGATGAAGAGGAGAAAAGGACTCCCTGCTGAGGGACTTGGAACCCAGGGCTTATCAAGTGGCTTCAGCCTACGTATTATTAGCAAACAATGACTTAGTTGAATACCCTGGGTCTCATTTACCGCATTTGACATCTAATTAAAAGTATGAAGTGCTAACAGTAGCATTCTTGGAAGGAAAGCAAATTACTAAACCACTATTATATACCAACTGCTGTGCTAGGAGCTTTATATACATTATCTTATTTAATGCTCATGGTAGAGCATTCTGGAAGGTGAAGTCCCCATTTTACAGATGAGGACACAGAAGCTCAGCGAGGTGAGGGGACCTGCCTAAGGTACCACTATATACACCATAGGTACAAAAAATCAAATCCAGCAATATGTAAAAAGCATAATACATCATAAACAAATGTGTTTATTCCAGGAATGCAAGGTTTGTTTAACACTCAAGAATTAATCTATGCAATTAACCACATTAGTAGAATAAAAAGAAAAACCATATGATCATCTCAGTAGATTCAAAAAAATTATTTGATAAAATTCAATTGCCCAGAGCTTCTTAAAAGAAGCCAGGCTCACTATTTTCTGATAATTTTTTTCTTCTGAATTCCTCTTTAAGGCTAGGGAAGCATAGACAGTAGCTCCAAAGAGAGATTAAACTCTTCCCACTCTAACATAGAGACTACTTAGCAGGGGATTCTGGCTAACCCTAGGGAACTGAGGGTGTCTCACACAAATTTCATCTTTAGCCGATTCAGAGGCACAGGTATTCTTTGAACCTGTGTAACAGATGAGGAAACAGATGCAGAGAAGGGAATGCCTCAGGTAACCATGGGTCAGGCCACCACATCTCACGCATGAGTGAAATATTCTCAATCTGATCGCCATTGACTGCTGCCTCTCTTGGTTGGAAAACTGTAAGGGCCACCACGGTGTTCCTTTATTTGGCTTCCTGAATGTAACCATGGGATCACCTAAGGCAGCTGGACATGCAGTTGACCCTAGGCAAGGCATTAAAAAAAAAAAAAAAAGCTGTCATCTAGTCTCCAACTCATGGTAACCCCATGTGTGCCAGAGTAGAACTGTGTTCCATAGAATTTTTAATGGCTGGTTTTCTTGAAGTAGATTGCCAGGTCTTTCTTCTGAGGTGCCTCTGGGTGGATTTGATTCTCCAACCTTTCAGTTAGCAACCAAATGCATTAACCATTTACACAATCCAGGGACTACCAGCAAGCATACAGAGGATCTGTACTTGTGAAACTTCCCATGTGGGGTCTGAGCTTGTATCACAAAGCTGTACGATGTCTAGGGCAGTAGGTCTCCACCTTGACTGCACAGCAGGATCACCTGGGGAGCTTTGAAAAATGCCAATGCCTAGGAGCCACCCCAGACCAATTGACAGAGAGTCTCTGAGGGTAAGCCCCAAGCATCAGAATTCTTTAAAATCTGCCCAGCTAATTCCAATGTGCGTCAAGGACTGAGATGCTGGAAGCTAACCACACCCAGCTCTAGGAATGGAGCACATATCTGAGCTAAGTCACTCTGTCCCTTCCATCCACCTGGCCACATGATTGTTCCAGGGATAGATTTGAGACCTAAGCCAGTCCAAACCACATGAATCTCAAGACTTTTGCTGGGAATAATAGGACAAAGATGCTCTCTCTCCTGCTGTACGTGAATTAGAAAGCATGTAGTCCTACAACATACTGGCAGCTATTTAGGGATTCTGAGAGCTTACCTGCCAACCAAAGGGAATATAAACCTGATACCACAGAAGGCATGGCACCACCACTGATGCCGGTTGCCATCAAGTCGATTCCAACCCCATGTTTGTCAGAGTAGAACTGTGCTCCATAGTGTTTTTATGACTGTGATCTTTCAGAAGCAGATTGCCAGGACTTTCTTCCAAGTCTCCTCTAAGTGAGTGCGAACTGCCAACATTTAGGTTAGTAGTCAAGAGCTCAACTGTTTGCACCTCCCAGAGACTCCTGGGTGGCACGGCAGAGAGATAAAAAACAGAAAATGAGCCCTTGATGATGTCACTGAGCTGCTGAATCAAGCTATACCTGAAGCTAAACATACCTCTGCCCTTTTCAGATGCCAGCATCAGATGCCTATATAAAGTCTAGGTCAGTATTTCTCTGCCTTGGCTGCATCTCAGTATCACGTGGGGAGCAGGGAAGCAAAAATTTTCTGAAGTGACAAATGCCCGGGCCCCATCCCAGATGAACTGAATCAGAATCTCTAGCGGTGAGGCCCTGAGCATCAGTAAGCTTTAAAAGCTAGCTGGGCAATTCCAATGAACACCCAGGGCTGAGAACCCCTGCTCTAGAACCATGGAAGGGCTGGACACCCTTTGATTCTGAGCACCCAATGCTGACAAGAACATCAGTAACTGCGGATATTCAAAGAGAAGTCAGGATGAAAGAAGATTCCAAACTGGTCCTAAGATGAATAATCCAAAGAATGGGAGATGACTGTGCTGGTCAGGATGAGGGGAAAGGACAGCATATTACAGCAATGGGGAGGATATTGGCCACCATTCATCAACGCTTTTAATCAAGAAACAAGAAAAAAAATAAAAGCTGCAGTTTCCACAGTAGCACAAATTAAAGCAAGACAAAGAGAGGCCTGTGCTTGTGTGAGTCTATGCATCTCTCAGCAACTGGGGTATTAGGGAAACAAAGTTCTCTACCTGGGATACTTTCTCCAACCTGGCCTCCTGCAGGGATCCTGCTCCCCCTGAATCTTTCCAAGAAATCATCCCCATTTGCCAGTCTCCATGCCTGCTGATGGAGATTCAACTGTGCAGCAGACGCGGTAGCTGCCTCAGTCACATCCCCTTGGCACTCACCACCACCATGCAGGTGGGCTCAGCTGCTGCCAACTGCAAATGCTTCTGACTCTTTGTCTGTAACTCTGACTGTCACAGTCAGAGTCCAGCCATGAGACCATTCTGCCTGCATGCAAGGCAGGCCATAAGAATTCAGGAGTTAACACTTGCCAGGAGCAACCATTAACCAGTGACTGGCAAGAGTTGGTGGATAAATAGCCCACATCCCTCTCCTCTCAGTAAGAACTCTAAGGTATAGTCTATCCCATCTCCTATACGTCCTCATAGGAGTGAGCCCAATTGTCCACAACAGTAACCTGCTCAAAAGTTTACCCTTTATGTACCTCCTTCCCTTCCCTGTCTCATTCCCACACTCCCCTACCAGCGCTACCTGGGATCACTTCCCAAATAAACTACTTGACTTCACAGCCTGTGGCAGGGTCGGATTCTGGAGGAACCTAACTTAAAATAATGAATAAGACAGATATGTGTCCTGCTCTCATTAACCTTATATTCCCATGGGAGGAAACAAACAACAACAAAAAAGTGATTTTTAATAAAGAGACATGAAGACAAAAAGTATGTGATGTGATAGAGTTACTGGGGAGGCTGGGGGAAGCTACTTTAGACAGTGTATCAGTTTCCTAGGGCTGTTGTGACAAAATACCACCAACTGGGTGGTTTATAAGACCAGAAATATGTAGTCTCACAGTTCTGGAGGCTAGAAGTCCAAATCAGGGTATCAGCTGTGTCGATTCCTTCTGAGGGCTCAGAGAAACTGTTCCGTGCCTCTCTCCTACTTCTGGTGGTTCCTGGTAATCCATGGCATTCCTTGGGCAGCAGTGTCACATGACATCCTTTCTCTGTCTCCCTGTCTCTGTGTCTCTTCTCCTTTTTAATAAGGACACCAGTAGGACCCATCCTACTCCAGTATAACCTCATGTTAATCTAACTGATGACATCTTCAAGGACTCTATTTCCAAACAAGGTCACAATCACAGGGACACAATTCAATCCATAATAAGTAAGGTGGTTAGGGAAGTCTTCTCGAAGGAGGGTACAGCTGAGCTAGGACCTGAGCAGTGAGAAGCCATCCATGGAGACATGGGGGGGTGGGGGTTGGAAGGGGGATGGGAGAAATGCCCAGGCATTTATAGAAAATCTGGACCTCCTGTCACTTCTCGTTCAGGCTTGAGATTCTATTCCTTGTTCCAATAAGAAAATCACATTTTGGCTTAGAAATGGAGGGTCCACCATGACCACTCCCTATGGCTCTCTAACATCACATTTCTGAATAAATCCAGAGGGAAGTGCAGATGGAACTAAGGGCCAATGCTAGGTGCCAAGTTCTCTATGGACATTGTATTACTTGATCTTCTTAACAACACTGTGAGATAGGCATCCTAAGCACCTATTTTTCAGATGAAAAATGATGCCCAGAGACATGTAGAGACTTGCCCACATAGCTGGAAATGGGGTGAAAAGTCTGCCAAGCTCCAAAATCCATGCCCAGCTCTATTTCTTAGAGAGCATGAAGACCATTCTTCACTTGTTCTTAAAAGTACCTCTAATGATATACAAACACCAGAAGGTGTTGGAAAGCAGCTGCCACGAAAACTGTTAGTAAAAAGCAATGAAAACAAATCAGGAATTCAAGCCAAATTACTCTTCCTCGAAAGGAAATAATGCCAAGTACATATGCAAAGATGCCCATATGGTTTTCTTAGCAAAAAAAAAAAGTTGCCATGGACTTGATTCTGACTCATGGAGACCCCATGTGTGTCAGAGTAGAACTGTGCTCCATAGGGCTTTCAATGGCTGGTTTTTCAGAAATAGATTGCCAGGCCTTTCTTCTG